CTTACTTTGTTTATGTAGATGTCAAAAAGTCTCTGTCTAGAATTGCCCCCTGCCCCCAATATCTAAAGTCCTGGGTTACATGGGAGCCATTTATCAATGCTCTGTCATTCAGAACAAAAGTTTATTAACAGGTGGAAAGAGCTACTTCTCTGAGATCCCAAAACCTTCCCCAGATCTGTGGCAAAAAAATTACTGTCTTTGCAGAAGATCTGTCACCAGACTGACCCAATTTCTGACCACTTGGGGCAGAAATTGGAGGTTTGGGGTAGAACATTAATTTCTTCTCCATCCATCCACCTGTCATCGATTGACAAAAAGTAAATTCCAAAGGGGAGAGCACTGGCCTGCTCTGTTGCTTTCACTGGAGCAAACTGTGTGTGCTGGAGAGGACAAGTTAAAGGCAAGGAGTCTTTTTGGTAAGACAAGTAGCCCACCATCCCAGCATCTGTGCCAACAGGATTTAGGCTGGCTGATATCAGCCCAAACTACAAAATGTTGAATAAAGTAGCCTTTTTGGTGGGTACATGCTATCCAACAAACACACCAAACCTGTGAAAAGTAGCCAATATAGATCCCAGCATGGTGTCTTACAACAGTAGTCCCCTTCAGATTCCTTTGTCTCCAGCGGTAGCCATACACTGAGGTGGTGGCTATTTCAGTTTTCTTCACACGGATAGCAGCCTGTTGGTGCCTTCAAACTGTGTGTGATCTCTTGCTTTGCTGTCTCCCGGGACACTTTGAAAACAGTCTGTTCTGTGTCTCTTTCTTCTTAGATTATCCCGATAGAGAAATACTTCAATATTAGTGTCAGATAAATTGGGGCAGGTCATGCATGAATGCAGTAGTGACCTTGCCTAGTTGTCTCAGAGTAAAAAGCAAAACAAGCCCGTATCCCTCCCCAAAGTTTTTGTCTCTGCTAGGACTTCACGCATAATGCTTCATCATATTAAATAGTTACTTCTTATATACTCTGCGCACACATAAGGAAGAGCTGCTCTTGGTATTGCTAGAGGGTGCTTGGAATCCAACTAGAAGTGTAGTTACAATTCTGCAACCAACAGTTGATTGTAAAACAGGTAGAATAAAACACAGAAGCTCTGTCTGGAGGTGAGCTCTTTCAAGAAATGACTAGGTTATATCTACTGGCCCCCTATTTTGCAAGGCCTCACTTTAAGTACTTTGTAAGCCCGTTAATGAAAAAGCAAACTTCACTCTGGAGTCAGGCAAAATTCTCACCAAATTGACTGTTTAGGTAACAACCATTTTCTGCTGTAGTTTTCTATTAACATTTTTAGTTAGATGGCAGAGCTGCATTTTGGGAGTTGGGACCAGTGGTCTGGGCAGGCCATACATTATGTTTAGAATGCTGTTAAATGTCATAGCTACTCATTTACAAGGACTTTAACATTCAATTGATTTTAAGCGTAGGTTGGTAGCCTTCATTTTTTTTTTTTTGAGTACTACTGATTTTGCATTTGTATTGTATGTAATTTATCATGAGAGGGCAAGAAGGCAGAAACAAGCTACCACGGTTTTTTTTGCAGCTAATACTAAAATGGCAATATTTAATTTTCACAATAAAGTGACTAATGATTTACCTCTTTGAGTTGCTTATTTGTGCTGTGATTAAGTATATTAAAACTTTTGCATTTAATGTATTGATACTCTAAATTTCAAGCAATTTCCAGAAGTGTTTCACTACATGTTCTCATTGTGCAGGCATTTTTTAATTGAGTACTTGTCCATTGTGAATCTGACAAGATCTAATAATTTTCATAGGAGTTCAGAGAGTGCTACTTACTTTCTGTGAAAGATCCAGCATTTAAAAAAAAAAAAAGTGTCTCTGTGTACCTTGGGATGGCCAAGACCAGTACTACTGAGAATAAAGTACCTGGTATTTATCTTTAGCTGTGTTTTTCTCTCATTATATCATGGAGGGAAAACACGTAGCCGTGGGGATTCTACTGTTTAGCCTTGTGAGAGAGAATGTGTGCGCATGTGCCATGCGTATGCGAAGTTTTTGATAGCAACTCCACATACAAGAGCAAATTACAGTTCTGCTTTTTGTTTTGCCATCTTCTTGCTAGATGCAAAAAACTTGTATTGGTCAATATTGTTGGCAGCTGAATGGCTGAAGAACAGTTGTCTATAACCAGATGAACAGAGGTCACAAAGATAAGGAATGGCTGGCAGAAAGATGAGGTTTGGTGCCTTAGCACCAGAAGACAGAAGGATAACCCCATGTACCTTGTCCGCAGATGATCAGATAGTCAAGTGGAATTCCTTGCAGTTCAACCTGTTGTCCAACTCATTTAAATCAGTGGAACTTAGGCAAGTTAACTCCATGTACACCATTCATCTACAGTCACCTTTGTCAAAAAGATGCCATTTAACAATGATGCCACCTTTTGAAAGTGTAAACGAAGAAATTCTGAAATGGTTAATAAACTTTTAAAGGAGTTATCAGTAGTGTAGTCACCAGTCTTAAGAGTTTTAAGGAAGGAAACTAGTTATTTGTGAAGACACTCTGTATGTGTTAAAATTCTGGTTACTAATACCAGTTGTAATTTTTTTTTTCATTAAAAAAAAAAAAAAGCAAGAGTTAGCTTGGAGAATTAACTGTGAAGACTTGCTTAAGAACAGGCTTTAGGGCTGGGTCCTGTACATGGGTGAAAGCAGGCTGCTGGTGTAACAGGTGAGTGGGTGGAATGTGACGGTTGCCTGGCAGAGATTCTGGCCTCTCCTGCCTACACTGTGATGCCACGGGGGCCCCTGCCAGTGTGCCCTGCCACCTTGCACCAGGCAGGCTGCTTGTACAACAGCAGAAACATCAGTAACCAAAGCTGCTGCCATTAGTCAAGAAAGGAAGCAGACAGGAAAAACCATGGTAAGAAAAGATTCAGATTATTTTATCAGATAATGAGCAATAGGTTTGGCTTTCTGTTGCCAGCTACTCTGGTCAAGATCTGAATGAAGGTAGGAAAGCTGAAGTGACTTTTTTTGCTTCATCTTGGGGGCAACAAATGTTGCTCACAGTGTACAGACAAACTGTTGTATTAGCTTCTTGGTAAATAAATTTAGAGTCCAAATGTACAGCTACATTTGTGTTAATAAATTTATTATAAGGGAAGTCATATGCAGAAAAGAAAGGATGGAATTGGAACTTTTCCTTTTTGGGTAGAAGCTACTCTGGATATACTTCGAATATAGTATGTTTAAACCTGTATTAGTGGCCTTTTCCTACTAGCTTGTGGGTATTAAAATTAAGAGCAAACAAATGTGGCTATTTCCCTAGATATTCTGCAAGAATGGATGGAAATCATCTGCCAAAAGATTCATATTCAAATATACCATGTCCAACAAGAGCCTCTCCAGTTTTTGAGAGAACCCTTTAAATTCACAGCCCTCAGGAGTCTGCATAGCAATCTAAAGAAGGAGATGCGCTTCTTTTTCCTTTAGAATATGGTATTATATTTTGTGTTTCAGATTTCTGTTATTAAACTATGTGCATGACACAGTAATAACCACTTTAGAAACTGGTTATTGACTGAACGGCCATGATTACAGAAGTGTATGTGTACGAGAAAGATTTCTCAGGAGGTTAATTTACTCTAACATGTCAAGAGTACAAAGTCCTCTTGAGTATCAAGTTAGCTCTTCACATGTTAAATTGAATTAAAAGTACCCAGAGAATGGGCTGAAACAATCAGTGGTTGAAATTAATTAAGGTACTAAAGGCACTATAATTCTAGTTCCTTTAATTTCTACAAACCTGTTTTCCTCCTGTCCAACACACATGTTCAACAGAAGGTTGAGAGGTCAGAAGATACTTCATTCCCTTTGCTTTATCTATATATGAAAATAGCATAGCTGTGTCTTGTCCCAGATAACTGGGCTTGGCTCATATTCCTTAGCTGGGACCTACTGTTGTTTATTTTGTGTACCTATACACAGTTTTTCCATCTGCATGGGCTTAAGTGCTCTTACACATAGATCCTGTTTAGGCACAGCTGCAAATCTGTAGCTGTTGTGATTATTGTTTCTTTCAACTCACAGCAAAATATTTTTCTTGCCATTTGTAAATAAGTGTCAGAATATTTTCCATTGATTCCAGCCTTGTGGAAAATTTTGTAATCATTGGTTGATTTGGGGGTTTCAGGTAAGTTCAGTGTATAGACTCTTAGGATATTCACTGGTTCTTCTCACCATTTTCCTTGTCCTCCCCTTTCAGCGTGAGTGCATCTCAGTTCACATTGGCCAAGCTGGAGTTCAAATCGGCAATGCATGTTGGGAACTCTTTTGTCTAGAGCATGGCATTCAGCCAAATGGCACCTTCATCGACCAACCCAACAACGATGACTCTTTTGACACCTTCTTCAAAGAGACAAGCTCTAGAAAATACGTGCCTCGGGCAATTATGGTGGATTTGGAGCAAACTGTAATAGGTCAGTATAGAACTAATCTTGGAAAATAGGAATGAATTAACTCTTCTGGGTGCCAAAGTTCAGATCACTGAATAGCAGGATAATGCCCTTACCATAAGGGATGATCCCAACATGCAGGCAAAATGTACAGATTTTACATTTTCAATACCAGATATTACTAAAAGTTCTGTTACTCTCAATGAAAAGATGAAAATTGAACTGCACTCTGTCATGGGTGTTCTACTAATAATTAATAAAATCAAAAGTTTAATATTGTTTAAACCTCCACTATTTATGACTACAATTTAGCTTTCTTAAAGAGATTTTTTTTTTTTTTTGTGGTGATATTTTTCCTTTGCTAACTGATGGAAAATGCTTTCCTCACATTCAGGTATAAGAGAGGAGTATGAAGAACCAGACAACAGAAGTGTCCTGACAGATTTTCAGGGGAAACCACTGTTTTACTCTTGAAAATCTTCTCTTTTTCCAGTCATTCCCCTGAAGGTTCTGATGGATCTTCATCTGATCAGTATATAGAGCTGAAATTTTACCACAGTGTGGCACAGCCCTCATTTGATAAATTAATTCATTTCTCTAACACAGGAACTTACACTTGGAGCAGAGTCAACTTTTTTTTTTTTTTCAAATCTGAGATCATCTCAGATGAAACTTCTCACCCCTGTACTTTGTTTTTCAACGTACAGATCTTTCATACCATTTTCTGACAACATAAAATGCTCCATTTGTTTTGCAAACATTATCAGCCTTGGTGAATTCTCTCTTCCAAGCTTATGCTTTTTTTCTCTTGTTCAGATGAAGTGCGAACTGGAACTTACCGGCAGCTTTTCCACCCAGAACAGCTGATCACTGGAAAGGAAGATGCAGCAAATAATTACGCACGCGGCCACTATTCTGTTGGCAAAGACAAAATTGACATGACATTAGATCATATCCGCAAGCAGGTATGCACTATCACATTGGAAGCAGGGCCTTAGGAGGGTGGGAGGGGAAAAAAACACCACATACCTTTTTTTTTATAGTGGCTCTCATTTTGCTTTGACTATTGTCATTGGCTCAGAACAGAGAAATGCAGGTCCTGGATGTCCCATCTTACTTTTCATATGAATGGAAGACTTAAATGGAAAACCTCAAATATTGCTATAGCATTATTATTGTAAGAAAAAAAAAATCAATATGTTTCTATTGACACTCTAGCCTGAGATTTACAGGGGAAAATAGGCAATGAGAATTTTCTGGGAAAACTGCTGACTTTTGTGCTGTGCACTGGGTGCAGTTGATGCTGTCTCTATTTGAGAGTGTAATTTAAAGGTATGTTCACTTATTCATTCACTTTTCTTGTTGGCTTTCAGGCTGATGCCTGTTCTGGGCTGCGAGGATTCCTCATCTTCCACAGCTTTGGTGGGGGTACTGGCTCTGGCTTTACCTCCTTACTGATGGAACGCCTCTCCATTGAATATGGAAAGAAATCCAAACTGGAGTTTGCCATCTACCCAGCCCCTCAAGTCTCCAGTGCTGTGGTCGAGCCCTACAATTCCATCCTGACCACACACACCACCCTTGAGCATTCAGACTGTGCCTTCATGGTGGATAATGAGGCCATCTACGACATCAGTCAAAGAAACCTGGACATCGAGCGCCCCACTTACACTAACCTCA